AAACCATTCTTCACAGATGAATTGCTTGACACAATTGTATTAGAAACAAATAGAAATGCTAAAAAGAAATGGAAGTACTGAATTTACCTCAACGGTCAATTTGGAATAACTGGGTTGACGTGACGAAATATAAATTGACTACGTTTTTTGGCTCAATCATGTACATGGGTATCATTCCTATTCCTAATTTCAAAGATTACTAGACTAAAGAACACGTTGGAAGCATATCCTTTTTCAGAGGCATATTTGCATTATGTTACAAAAACTTAATCCAACATGAGTATAAACGAAATACGACCGAAAAAGGTAAACCAAACAATCGGCATTCTTTCGGAGAATCAGTCAATGCCTTCAAAGTTTATTACGCTGGTTCCATTAACATGTTCGTCGCCCAGTGCGATTCGGTTCAGTTTCTCGCTAGGCCCAAATCCGACACTCGGAGCGCCAGAACGTAAACAAGTAAGTGGGAACAGCAACCATGCAACTCGAGTAGGCCCGTGCGTTGTCGGTGACAAGATGCAGAATCTTCGATCCATTATAAGGTGACGAGATACAGACCCTTCAATCCATTATAAGGTGACGAGATACACTCTTCTTTCCATTATAAAGAATAAAGTGTTTAGCTTCGAAATAAGGAAAGAGATTTCGGCTAGATGACTGCGAGGGACCTCACTGCAGTTATGCCAGATCCTTCATTAAGTCGAGAAGCATACTTCTTCTGAGACGCACATCAGTGATTTTTTTATCCTCAAAATGTTCATTAGATGGCGTAAGAGTATAATTGAAAGTGAGGAGAGTAATGATGACGAAGTAGTGAGTCATAGAACAAAAGTTATAAATAGAATTTCATCGAGTTCAAACTCGGAAATTGAGGAACCATATGCAAATGAAGACCTTGACGACATGTTGGAAGAACGTGCTATATACGAAGAAGAGGAACTGAACTTTGTTGATGATTCATTGGACAATATTGAAACAAATTCGCTAACAGGCAACTGTCACTTCCGTTCACCGGAAAAAGTGGGCTTCTGATGGATTTACCGTCTGACATTGGGGCAAGTGAAGTGTTTTCGCTATTCTTAGATGAAAAAGTGATAAGTTTTT